AATCACAAAATATAAAAATCCTTGAGAAATTTTTTTGGAATCATTAAACATTTTAAAGAGGAATGTATTTATCTATTAAGGGTTATTATCATCACTGTATCTCTTTCGCTTCGAGTTCCTATCTTTTTAGATAATGTGCTAGCAGTGAGATACGTCAGCATTAAGGCAACTTTTCCCCTGTTATTGTGAAGTTTGTTTTGGCAAATAAATTATGAGGAATAATTGCTGTTTGTTTACGCTCCAGGGTCCTTGCACTGGGAATCAACAGAGTTTGGCACACAGCAGGCTGTGGGATGCTGTGGTCGGCTTTCTTCATGTATTTGCCCATATGCAGATGAAGCTGTCGCAGGTAAACTACCTTCCTCTCTCCTAAATGACAAACTGGAGACTGTAGTCATCAGCAAATTAAATGTGCTTTTTGATGTTGGAACATTATCTTTTTAAAATCACTTTATCACTTGTCTTTTTAAGATCATTTTATCATGTCTCTTTTGTTCTACATGAACTTTTTTTTAAATAAAAAACATTATGTAACCTGAAAATAGATAGGATTCGTTATTCAAATTTGAGACAAAGGATATTAGGAAATTGAATGTAATGGAGAAATGAAACAGTTGAGTCCCCAAACATTGTACATTTCCCAAGCTTCATCTTCCTGGCCATGGCTCACTGGAATTTTCCTTCCCCTTACAGATAATTGAAATAGGTTTTATAATCTGTTACAAGGGAGATAATTTTGTTATAGGGTCTTAAACAAGCAGATGTTCTCAGTAGGGTGATGTTTACCCATAACCAGTGTATTTAATTTTGTGACAAAGAGAAAAAGTAGCTATTATACGGATAAGCAAATGAAGAATAAACAGATTTTCCACCATGTTTTAATGTTAACTTGAGAGAACCTATTGAAAAATATCAGCTTGTTTTCTCACTGCTGTATTTGTTTCATTTGAAACAAAAAGATACACAAATAGAAAAGTTCTTGTGAATGTCTCTCTTCAATGCAGTGAATTTTGATGGTATAACCTGAGACCTTCAGAGTGTGGGCATTTGCCAGTTGGTCAGGTAGAAGAAAGAATGTCAGATTAAAAGACAGAATGCTGCCATTCTAATTCCTGAGCTGTTGTGACTTGTTCCACCCATGTGGGCCAGGTCGCTTCCCTGAGGCCTTGTGTTTCTGCAGTAAAGTGAAGAACCTGCCCCTCAGGCCTGCATATGACAGTATGCAGGATGTATTGTCAAAGATCAACAAGGCTGGACGCTAGTAAAAGTGGTAAGGATACATCTTAATGTCAAAGATAAACAAAGCTGGATACTAGTTAAACGAATAAGGACGGATTTTAATCAGTAGTGCTATTGCAACAAGGAAAAAGAGTTCAGCATAAACTGAACCCGATTTGATTTGTGCAGAGGTGACTGGGAATATTAATGGGAAAATGAAGATTAGAGAAGGGGCGAACAGGGGCTCAGTAGAGTCAGGGGAGTGAAAAGTTACAACAGGTTCATTGGTGTAAATGTGATTAGACCAGCTATATCTGCTAACTGGCAATTGTCAAAGTTAGGATTCTGTCCTTCTCCAGAGTCCTTATCCTTAGATGTTGTCTAGAACAGTCGATTTTTTTATCAACCTCGTGTTTTCCCAGGCAGGTACTTTAGTGGAGGGCTGGGCTCATCCTAGAGATGCAGTCTTGAACAGTTAGAAACTATATTAGTGTTTGTTCAAGTCTTTATAGACCAAAGTTGAGGCCAAGTTGAGAAGAGGGCTCAGAGGTACCTGGCTAGAGTTTGGTGAAGGAGAGAATGTCAATATGGAGTTATTGGTGACTTGAGCCCAGTAGAGAAATTCCTGTCTTTCATTTAATCACTAGGGATATTTTGGTAAGTAAAGGAGACCGACATGAACCAAATGTAGACTCTCACAAGAGAGTTCTCATCCTGATATTTTTCCATCAGGGTATTGACATCTGGTGCTACCTACCACTTGTTAATGGTTTATAGTTTCCGTAACAGCTATTTAGAAAGAAAATGTCTCATCCTCCCAACACAGTAGGAATTTAGCTTCATATGTACCAAAATCTGAATAAAATGCCTTGTACAAATTTTTTAAAGAATAGTCTAAAAAATAGATGAGATATAAAGTTATGCAGATGTAAGTATGATCTGTATTTCCAGGGACTGTAGCTAAGCATACTGATGTTTAGACACAATATGTCTTTGAAAAAGAATGTTTCTTTATGGTAAAAAATCAAAAGCAAAAACAAAATCTTAACCAGAGTAATATTGGAAAGCTTAATCAAATTGGTAAATGAGATACATTGTACAATATTAGTACAATGTTGTACTAATAGGTAATACCTGTGTAGGTTGTTGGTTAATTTGTCTAACAAATAAATTTATAAGTTTATCTTCTGTGGTGCTTATATGCCTATATTTTTCTATGTAAAGTTGATTTTTACATAATAGCACCTAGAAGAAGTTAGAAAGTTAGAAGAAAAAAATGCGGGCTTTTCAAATAAAAGATAGATGAATGTCAAATGTGCAGAAGCTCTTGAGTCTTGCTTGGCATTGGAGAATATACCACTGTTATGGTTCTTTCATATTATTGCTAGATATGTTCATTGTCCGTACAAATACTTTCTTTTTTCTGAGATGCAGTCTTGCTCTGTCACCTGGGCTGGAGTGCAGTGGGGTGATCTCTGCTTACTGCAACCTCCACTTCCCAGGCTCAAGCAATTCTCATGCCTCAGCCTCCTGAGTAGCTGAGATTACAAGTGTGCACTACCATGCTTAGCTAACTTTCTGTATTTTTAGTAGAGACGGGATTTTGCCATGTTGCCCAGGTTGATCACAAACTCCTGAGTTCAGGTGATCAGTGCACCTCGGCCTCCCAGAGTGCTGGGATTACAGGCGTGAGCCACTGTTCCTAGCCTACAAATACTTTAAAGAACATTAGCTGAAATCAGTAATACTTTTTAATTGTGAAGTATAACTATTTTTAATATTTGACCCTCCTTTAGTTCCATAATGCTTCACGTGCTTACTATTTATTGCCAGAGCAGTATCTTTCTGTGAGAGTAATTATGATGTTCTTGCTGCACAGTTTTCTTGCATTATCTCAAATGCAATGTTAATATTTTCAGGATTCCAGTCAAATTGAACTTTTAAAAGAATTAATGGATCTGCAGAAGGATATGGTGGTCATGTTGCTGTCCATGCTAGAAGGTAGTTTTGATTTATATACTTTTAAATTCCCTTTATTATTTTATTTAAAGGATCAGCATGAGCTTGCTTATGGAATCAGAGTGTAGCATAGAATAAAATAACACTAAGATATGGTAGATGTCTTGGATTTATTGCTGGCTTATTATTCTTTTTCTCATAATAGTTTTTTTCTTAAAGGGAGATCCTGCATATCTCAGTTTACATATCTACAGAATGAAAATGGTACTTTATAACAACACTTTTCATTTCATAGTGATAGCCTAAAAAGTAAGCTCTCCAGACAGTCTATATTTTGTTTGTTAGTGTGTTTGTCCATAAGCGGTGGGGGTTTCGGACATCTGAAATCCACATTGGATAACCTCCAGCGGTGTAAGCTGCTTGCATAATCAGTGGGGATTTCGGACATTGGGATAATGTCCAACTGGGTAAGCTGCTGCTTTGAAAAGACCACAGAGTCACTCCTTTGGGTTCTTAAAGCCGTGGCACTGCGGGGAAAGCCTCTGTCCCCCAAGGATGCTGGCAGCCGTAGTCTTGTTCTCCCCACCAAAGCCTCAGTTTTAATTTTCTCTTTTTTTTTTTTTTTTTTTTTTTCTGTAGCAGGCAGGAAACGTAGTGGTTAAGAGCTTGGGCTCCAAATCCACCGCCAGAGTTTAAATCCTGACTTCCTTACCTCTGGGTGGTATGACCCTTGGACAAGCTGCATCTCCCTTTTTTCAGCTTCCTCTTCTGAAAAATAGAAATGATAGATTGATGTGAGAATTCAGTGGAATCCTATAAATACAACCAAAACAACTGAAAGATGTTTGGTATTATGGTGCCTATCACTTTTTCTTAACTTCTTCCTATTTTCTCTCCGAGTCTGCCACACATGGCATAACTCCACTTCAGTTAACGGAGGCAGTTGTCATGCCTCGTGCTAGGACTTTGAAGTGGCAGCATTTGCTTAAAGCCCTTAGTTGGCAGCAACAGTAGCCACTTTATACCCTTTAAGCACAGGATCCATTTTTCCATGCATGGCCCCGATTCAAATTTTGGGTTAAGTACTAACAGCAGCAATAATAACTGCAGCAGCAGCAACCACAGCAATGACTTAAAACCAACTTCATAATGTGCCAGGTACTGGATTAAGTACTTATGTAATCCTAGTGACAAGTTTATGAGTTTGATGGTATTATTATCTCAAGTTTGCAAATGAGGAAACTGAGGTACACAGAGGCTAAGAAATCTGCCCACATTGCCGAGCACATCAAACCTGGATTCAAACCCAACGATGGAGCTCCAGATCGCACACTCTTACCACCACGGTGCTTACTGCTTCCCAGATTGACTCTGTGGACCTCTGACCAGCGACCTTTCTTCTCCTGCCTGTCTTTGTGTTATATCGCACATTCTGTTCAATGAATAGAAGCACTCTGTAATCCTGTAGTTCAGGAATCTGCCATTTTCTAACTATACAACACAAATCATGAAGAAATGTAGAAAGGTGCTTTCCATTATGAATCAGAAAAAGCGTACAGTTTGCTCTCCGCATCTGGTCTGAAGACCTGGCACTAACCTTTAATAATTAAGTCACAATGGGCCCATTTTAATTTAGTCTTGTTGAACTTCAATTTCCTCATCGGTAAAATTAGGGTTAATAAAAAGTACCTGCCTTACGTATAAACGTTAAATCAGATATTGTCTATGATAGTGACTTTTCAACTCTAAAGGGCTGAGCAAATGTTTATTTTTATTATTAATATGAAACTTGATTTTAGTTTCTGGCTCTTTGGCTCATTTTCTTTATCTAAAACATGTTGCTTCTTTGATTAATTAATTTGAGGGGGAAAATGTCAACTTTTGTTGAAACATTTTATGTGTGTCAGTCTAATTACTTTGTAAATAGCGTTATGCATGTTTGTGTAATCACTTTTCAAACTATAGTTTATAAATAATTATCTTTTTATAGAGTGAGCGATAAACCAGGACATACCCTTGATTCAGATGTTATTAAAGATTTATATTGTTATTTTCTCTATAATCATTGATTTTGTTACAGTTTCTTGTAAACAAATGCAATTGCTTTACCACCAGGTAACGTTGTTAATGGAACGATTGGCAAACAGATGGTGGATATGCTTGTGGAATCTTCCAACAATGTGGAGATGATTCTCAAATTTTTTGACATGTTCTTAAAACTGAAAGATTTGACGTCGTCTGATACTTTTAAAGAATATGACCCCGATGGCAAGGGAGTCATTTCCAAGAGGGACTTCCACAAAGCGATGGAGAGTCATAAGCACTACACGCAGTCAGAAACGGAATTTCTTTTGTCTTGTGCGGAGACGGATGAGAATGAAACCCTTGACTATGAGGAGTTCGTCAAACGCTTCCACGAACCTGCAAAGGACATCGGCTTCAATGTCGCCGTCCTTCTGACAAACCTCTCTGAGCACATGCCCAACGATACCCGACTTCAGACTTTCCTAGAATTAGCCGAGAGTGTCCTGAATTATTTCCAGCCCTTTCTGGGCCGCATCGAGATCATGGGAAGCGCCAAACGCATCGAGAGAGTCTATTTTGAAATCAGTGAGTCCAGCCGAACCCAGTGGGAGAAGCCCCAGGTCAAGGAGTCCAAACGACAGTTCATATTTGATGTGGTCAATGAGGGAGGAGAAAAAGAGAAGATGGAACTCTTTGTGAACTTCTGCGAGGACACCATCTTTGAAATGCAGCTGGCAGCTCAGATCTCAGAGTCGGATTTGAACGAGAGGTCAGCGAATAAGGAAGACAGTGAGAAGGAGAGGCCAGAAGAGCAGGGGCCGAGAATGGCTTTCTTCTCCATTCTGACGGTCAAGTCGGCCCTGTTTGCGCTCAGGTACAATATCTTGACCCTTATGCGAATGCTCAGTCTGAAGAGCCTGAAGAAGCAGATGAAAAAAGTCAAAAAGATGACCGTGAAGGACATGGTCACGGCCTTCTTTTCATCCTACTGGAGTATTTTTATGACCCTCTTGCACTTCGTGGCCAGCGTTTTCAGAGGCTTTTTCCGCATCATTTGCAGCCTGCTGCTTGGGGGAAGCCTCGTCGAAGGTGCTAAAAAGATCAAAGTTGCAGAACTCTTAGCCAACATGCCAGACCCCACTCAGGATGAGGTTAGAGGAGATGGGGAGGAGGGAGAGAGGAAAACCCTGGAAGCCGCCCTGCCCTCTGAGGATCTGACCGACTTAAAGGAGCTGACAGAAGAGAGTGACCTTCTTTCGGACATCTTCGGCCTGGATCTGAAGAGAGAAGGAGGACAGTACAAACTAATCCCTCATAATCCAAATGCTGGGCTCAGTGACCTCATGAGCAACCCAGTCCCCATGCCTGAGGTGCAAGAAAAATTTCAGGTAATGTATCTCTAAGTCACAGCAGCATTCTCTCTGGACTTCAGGAGGATATAATAGATGATCATTAGACCAGGTTCCATGCTACTGCCAGAACGGTGTTACCCACATGACTTGAATTTCCAAAGAGAAATGCTTTTTGGTAGACAAAGTTAGTGCTGAGTCCTTATGAATTGTTACATTATCTTAAATTATTAAGGTGTAAGCTTCAGTACCCACCCTAACTGGAGCCTACATCTTTCTCCACTTTTATATACTTTTATATGCACATTTGAAAAATTGGGAAAAGAAAGAAAACTTTTCGATGCCTGTAGTGGCATTATCCTCACAGAGCATTGAAATTTTCTCCTCTGTTCTGTGATTCTCTTTGGCCTGTTTTCATTGTATGTTCTTTGTAGTCACTAGTCCATAGAGCCATCAGTCCATCCATAAATATGGCATATTTACCAAGTGTCTGATACCACTGGGTATGTAGGGAATTCAAAGGTAAGATGGGGTCACTGCCTTCAAATTACCTTAAAAAGTTTATTCCAGAGATAAAACTAACACACATGAAGAAACTAGAAAATGATTAACTGTTAAATAGTATAGGCAGGGCAGTAGGGGTTGCTTATCTTGAGAGAATGGCAATGCCAGTATAGTTTAAAGTAGTTAGATAGGAATGAAGGGGTAGGACTTAAATTGGCCTCAAAGGATGAGTAAGGTTTTAGTAGGTGCTTAAGATAAAGAAGGGTATTTCAGAAATGAGAAAAGAGAGTAAACAGGAGTCCCAGAAAGTTTGTCCCTACTGCTGGTGCAGTAGGTCAGTGTGCAGAAGTGGGAGATGTTTGGCCCCGTAAAATGAAAAACACGTGGCACTTTTATCGTGGTGGAAGCAAGAGGGTATCTTCTGTAGGTTATGGTTTGACACATGGTCACATGGCTCCCTAAATTCATTCAAAGGTGATGGGTAATCCTGGTTTTTTTTTCCCCCGCATTGACTCATTCAAGGAACAGAAGGCAAAAGAAGAAGAAAAGGAAGAAAAAGAAGAAACCAAATCTGAACCTGAAAAAGCCGAGTATGTACAGTTTGCATATACTTTTCCTTCATTTCAGTTTGTCATTACATCTCTTTTTCTTGTACTCTGTCTTTGGGAGCCGCAAGGGAGACTCTCATATTGCCAAGGAGCCACAGAACTAATTCTGCCATCTCCGTGGAGAGGCTTTGATGGCGAGGACCTCAGGCCACAGGCAGTGATCACTGTAGATGCTCCCAGGGCTGCCATTCTAGTCTTTTCCTTTCATTCCATGTGGCCCTCCGTTTGTGTGATTCCCTGTCAGCAGGAAAGACTCCAGTGATTCCATGGAATGCTGTTTGTAAGAGCACTCAGGGCCACAATTCTGTCTTTAAAAATCACTCATGTATTTCTGTCCTTTTCAAGGAAGGAGGAAACAAACATTCCAAATGCACCTTCATAGAATCCTGCGGAGTGATGCTCCTTAAACCATAGACCCAGGGCCACATGCATAAAACTCACCAGGAGAGTTGGTTAAAACTAACATTCCAACATAAAGTATTAAAAAAAAAAACAAAAAAAATACTAACAAACATTCTTGGGCCCCAAACTATAGACCCAGGGCCACATGCATAAAAATCCCCAGGAGAGCTGGTTAAAACAAACATTCCTGGGCCCCAGGGCATAGATCCTGCCTCAGCAGGTCTGGTGTGGGGCCTGGGAACCTTCATTTTCACCAACACTCCTGGTATCAATGCAGCAATAAAAAAGAGCTGGATGTGAGGCGATGGAAATGCATAACTCCCTCATAACACCAGGTTTCTGTGAATAATCGAAGCCTGCATCTTTTTCCACGTTTATAGAATTTTGTACGCACATTTGAAAAGTTGGGGGAAGAAAGGAAGCTTTTAGGTGCCTGTAGTGCCACTATTCTCCCATAGCATTGAAATTTTCTCCTCTGTTCTGTCATTTTCTTTGGTCTGTTTTCATCGTATGTTCTATGTAGTCAGCACTATGCATTGTCATAGACCTTACACTATTGGGTCTGTTGTAAAAATGGTCACATAAAAAGTAGACATATAACAAATAACAGCAAGACAGGCATTTCAATGGCAATTCTTTAATATCCAACTCATATGAGTTAAGTATAGCTTATATATTAATAAATATTTCTGGTTTATGTATTAATACATATAACTTCACTTTAATTTAATGAAGGACTGATATTTTGTACCCAAAGGATATCAAATGTCAATTCTTCTAATTCCATTATTGTCTGGAATTAATATAACATTACTATAATTCACTTAATATATTTTATTTAATGAAATTAATTACAATTAATATATGTCAAAGTGTGAGTATAATGATACACTTTATACATGTGAACAATTAAGTGTGTAGGCCTCTGATTTTAAATCTTAATGGCAAATGTTAAAAATTGTGCATTAAAATTACAGGCTGGGTGCGGTGGCTCACGCGTGTAATCCAGGCTGGGTGCGGTGGCTCACGTGTGTAATCCAGGCTGGGTGCGGTGGCTCACGCGTGTAATCCAGGCTGGGTGCGGTGGCTCACGCGTGTAATCCAGGCTGGGTGCGGTGGCTCACGCGTGTAATCCAGGCTGGGTGCGGTGGCTCACACCTGTAATCCCAGCACTTCGGGAGGCCGAGGCGGATGGATCGTGAGATCAGGAGTTCATGGTGACCAGCCTGGCGAACATGGTGAAACCCGGTCTTCTACTAAAAATATAAAAAAGTTAGCCGGGCATGGTGGCACATCCCTATAATCCCAGCTACTTGGAAGGCTGAAGCAGGAGAATGACTTGAACCCAGGAGGTAGAGGTTGCAGTGAGCTGAGATGGTGCCCCTGCATTCCAGCCAGGGTGACAGAGCAAGACTCCTTCTCAAAAAAAAATTTTGAAATTATAATTTAAAAATAGGATATGTTGGACAGTCACAGCAAAGTCAGTCTTCATTTTTTTTAAATGTTTTATTGCAGAATTGGAAGGAATCTGCTATGTATAAAGTCAAGCCTATAAAATGTCCTCTATATTTCAGCTTCATAGAATCTGTGATCAACAGGAACTCTTACCCCTGATTCTAAAATTCAGAATATTATTGTTCACCAGAAAAGAAATTAGTTTTCAGAAGTGATACAATGGTCTAAAATATTTGTTCACTTGGGTAATTTTCCACAACACCCGTTTAGTTCTTTAGTTTCTGTGGAGCTTATATTTTGTTCATCTGTTTTCACAGGGGAGAAGATGGAGAAAAAGAAGAGAAAGCCAAGGAAGACAAGGGCAAACAAAAGTTGAGGCAGCTTCACACACACAGATACGGAGAACCGGAAGTGCCCGAGTCAGCGTTCTGGAAGAAAATCATAGCATACCAACAGAAACTTCTAGTAAGATGTTTTAGAATGAATATTGTTACTGATATAGTACAATACCATAATAATTTAGGCTCAGTAAATATTTGCTGACCTCTCCCTGAGTGACAATTAGGGAACCAGGTTAGCCCAGCACATGTTTGATTTGCCCATTGTAGTGTGTTTATCTTTTATAGTGAATGTATCTGGCCCACCGCTCCCCACTGTCAAACCCATAACCTCTACTCATGTTCACACTCCCTGAAACCCTTTCATTTGGTTCCTGCCAGGACAGTACTCCCAGTGTCTGCCCACAAAGACGCTAGAATAAAAATATTCTGAGGACCTGCAACAGATTTTAAAGCAAGATGTGCCTTCTAGGGCACAAGTAATTCAAATTAATGTTCCAGAACTCGATTAGTCAGTATTTCTATAACATCACCCTTTTACTTAAAAATCCAGGTATAAAAATATTAGCTAATTGAGCCACTTTCCATTGATAATAAGAAAGTCTATTCAAAAGTATTCTTTAGAAAGAGGGATTACAGTTCTTTATGTAGTGTCCTGTACATTTTGCAGAGGTATTCCCCTAATTAGTAAAGCACACATTCATATTTGGAAAACAACGAAAAAAGGTATAGCTCTGTCTATTCATATTGATGTTGAAATTCTTAAAAATATTATTTGAAAGGCCTTTTATAAGCATGCGTGTGTAATGTCATATATATACACATACATGGGTATCTCCTATCCTTTTCCTACATGCTTATCTCCTATCCTTTTCCTCCTTTGTAAAAATTATACATATGTATCGATATATGTATAATTTTTATAATTATGTGTATATACGTATAATTTTTATAAATTTTTATAATTTTCATAGAGGAGGAAAAGGATAGGAGATAAGCATGTAGAATGCACCTACAAGAGGTACTGACCAGTGATGTTAGACCTAGAAATTAAGAACAACAACCCTCATAATAAAGCCATTTGAACAGCAGAATCATATTTAGTATTTTATAGCCCTTGAGAAACCAAAAATTGACAACCCAGAAACTCAATGGACTGTAGAATTTCTCTTATAAGGAAAGTGGACTGTCCTCAGTAATTATATATTCTAAATGCTTATCTTTAAATATGTTTATGTATTATGTATTTTAGGCAAATTAATTTAGTTGTAACTACATTTTCCTAAACCATCTTGTATTTTTCCCTATATCACGTAATACAGAATTCATGGAACATAAATGTTTCCTAGATAACTCTGAATAATTATTAATTTGGTATGCCATCGTGGCTTTCATGGCTGCAGGTATAGTTCTATTACAAATGGTTTAAAGGTTGAATGGGCTCCGCACTACCCCAGTGGGTTCCTGAAGAATGTGTTTAACTACAGTTGTGTAAACCAAGTAGTTGAGATTTTGCTTCCAGCTCTCACTGTGCCAGGGTTCACATGTTCTGTTGTCTCTGCACAGCTCCTCCCTTTTCCTGCATCTCTTTGCTATCTTTCTCGGCTCACCAATTTGCATGCACGTGACCAATCATGGCCACATCCGTCTACCAAAGGCCCCTTTTCCCCTAAGTGAGAGCTCAGGCTAGCTAACTCAGCCTCTGTGACCCAGATCCACCTTCCAAGGAGAACCAGTGAAACTGGCCCAGTCTGGGTGTGGTGGACAGCCTTGTTCCAGTAATCTCTGGCAGTAAAGATGGGGTCCTGTGTGGGGAAATGACACGAACAGAGATGGGGTGTGTACACAGAGGGGGATATCATTCTGAGGTGTTACATTTGGATGTAGCTTTACTATGGTAAATCCCCTGACATATCCACTTATATTATATTGACATCTCCCACTCAATATTAAAACAAATACTTAATGTCCACCATAATCTATTACTTTAAACCCACTTCTCGAGGCTTTATTTTTTCCCAGCCCAATAAATTGTACCAGCGGTTCACTTAGTTGCTCAGGCTGCCAAATTCAGAAGTTATCATCTTTGAACCCTCTTTCTCACCTTAAATACAACCCAACAATAATTCTTCTCAGTTGTTCCAAATACATCGAGTCTGCCCAGTTCTTGCCATCTCCACAGGTACCATTAAGTCCAGCCCACCACCATGAACCTCACCTCTGCCTGACATCTGGTATAACTTACTTTCTGACTGGTCCTCTTGCTTTCACTCTTGTTCTACTACTATCAGTTTTCCACATAGTAGCTGGAGTGGTCCTTCCAAATCATGATCCAACTGCACCAAGCCCCCCTCAAATCCTCTAATAGCTTCCCATCCTACCTAGACTAAAACAATAATTATACTAGAATATTACATTTATTATAATGATATAATAATATTAATAACAAACGTTCCCTATATTAACATTTCATCCGCAAAGCGCACTTAAGAGTTAGGTCTATTGTTATCCCACTTCGCATACAGATGAGCAGAGTGATGCTACAGAAAAGATTAAGTCATTTGTCCATATCCCACACTAGGAAATGGAGGCAGGCAGCCTTCATATCCAGGCAGTGAGGCCTCAGAGGTTGTAAACTGAACCACCCCACTGTCAAAGACAAGACAACCTTTATCAGAAGCCTACAAAACCCTGCCCCCTGCTCACCTGCTTGATCACAGCCCCCTGCCACCCCCACACACCAGTCTCCCTTCTTCTCACTGTGTTTCCTTCTATTATTTCTCAAACACACCGACATCACTCCTAACTCAGGGCCTCTGCCCTTGTTGCTCCTGTCTTTGACACACTCTTTCACCAAATGTTTGCATAACCTGCTCCCCTCCTGTATTCAGGCCTCTCTTGTTCAAAGCTCACCTCCTGAGATAAATCTTCCTAGACCAGCACCATCTAAAATAGCACCCCTATTCCCTAAGCTCCTAACCTGATGTAGTTTTCTTCTTAGTATTTAACGGTCTCTGAAACTATGTTTTTCATTTGTGGGTATGCTTTTTTATTCTTTATCTCCTCCATGGTGGCAGAAATGCTCTCCCTCACTGTTAGGTCTGCAGCACCAAGAATAGTGCTTGAAACAGTAGCCTTGCAATCAACTGTTTGGGGTAAATGAATGAATGCTTTATTTAAATTGCAGATTTCAAGTCTCTTGATTCAGTGACCTTCTCATAATGTTTTTCACCCTCAGAACTATTTTGCTCGCAACTTTTACAACATGAGAATGTTAGCCTTATTTGTCGCATTTGCTATCAATTTCATCTTGCTCTTTTATAAGGTACGTACATCTTTGTTTTAATAACCGGTATAAAACTACAAATAGAAATGAATGTAAAGATTTCACGATGAACATATCTACTACTGCTAGTGAACACGTCTAAACCTATCATGAAATACTGATGCCTAGGCACTGATATCACTGTTATCTAGGAAGGCAAGATTTGTTCCTGAGAAGTAAGAAATGCCTCAACTGAAGGGCATTTGATTTAGCAGAGGGCTTACCCACACTATTCCCAGCCTAATTTAGCTGAATATCTTACTTGTGATTATGTCTGGGTGTGGCATACCTGTATTATATTACATTCTTTTATAATTAAGAAGAGAGCTTAGCCATCTCATTTTTTTCTTGCATGCACTGGAATCCTCAGAACTTTTGGTTGAATAAGAATGAATTTTAAAAGTATGTTCACTACTTTCCTTTGGTTTTTGAAAAGCTATCGTTTTTAGCCTTTGCTATTAGTCCTTTCATTATGCAGTAACTTCACATTCAACTATTTGCTAAAAAGGCTGTATTTCTTTTCTTTTGCTTGCAATGATATCCTAGATGCAGCAAATTGACTCTACTTTAAATGCTTTGAATCAGGTCTCCACTTCTTCTGTGGTTGAAGGAAAGGAGCTCCCCACTAGAAGTTCAAGTGAAAATGCCAAAGTGACCAGCCTGGACAGCAGCTCCCATAGAATTATCGCAGTTCACTATGTACTGGAGGAGAGCAGCGGCTACATGGAGCCCACGTTGCGTATCTTAGCTATTCTCCACACGGTCATTTCTTTCTTCTGCATCATTGGATACTACTGCTTGAAAGTAAGATAGTAAGGCACCAAGGTACCTCTGTGTGTGTGTGTGTGTGTGTGTGTGTGTGTTGCAGGCTGGACCTCTGGAGAAGCAGATTCTGAACTGGAAATGTTGTGTACAAAGTTTCTGACGGAATGCTCCATGAATCAACGTGCTTGGGGCAAATGGAGGAAGCAGGATGGGACAGAGGGGAAAGCTGGGCTACTGTAGACATAGCAGGTGCAGTCTCCAAAGCTGGGATGCCCCTTCAGGGCTATCCTGGCCTGAGGCATTGGAGCCTGGCCATTTTATGTCTACATTGACTAGTCTGCCCTGGGAAGGGGCTATGGCCATCAGCTGTCTTAAAGTAGCTTTCTTTCATGTACTGATAATTATTCACATAGAGAATTTCGCCTATAACGGCCCTACAGAAGTAAGAGCTCACCCACCCACTATGTCTCATGGTAATGCAGTGATACTCCAGTATATTAAGACTTACAGAAATACATTGTATCGATCCTAGGAGTCATTTTATTGCTTTGTTATTAGGGAAGTATCTATTGCTATTCTTGGCAGAAATGCCTCATGATTTGTCACACTTCACCCAGAAAATAATGCAGCTTTATCCCTAGAGGCCTGCCAAGGGAACAATATAATTTGGTGAATAGAACCCAAGATAATCTCTCTGAGTGCTCAAGGCTGCCCATTACCTGTGCAAACCTCTTTATCTTTTCCTAGCAAGGCGCTTTTTCACTGTGATGCCTTTATTTCACTTTCACCACCCTCTGCCTCTGGTTGTAAATCTTGGAGAAGACATTTGAAAAAACCAGGGCTCAGCAAAAGACTAGAATGTAAAGTGTTCTTCAGGAACTCCTTTCCTCCCGTTTATTCTGTTTTATGAGAGTGCATATTCTTGGCTATTTCCAGAATATCTGTGTCTGTCTGCTGTCTGTGCCTTGTGTAAAGTCTGTCCATATAAAAAGAGGATCATTATGTTCCAGAGATATTTTGACAAACTGACAAAGATTTTTGCTGATGTTGAAATTAAAATGTATCTCAAATTAGTATGTGGTGATCCTGAGCATGAAATTATTAAAAGAGGTTTCTCAAATGAAACTGCACTTTAGTAGCATGCATTTGGGAACACTGCTGCGATGGCTAAATTTTATTTCATTCATTCATGTTGAGAGATATACTGAAAAATAAAGTGATTTTGCATAATCATCTTTTCGTCTTTGAAGTTTAAAAGTGATTTCATTAGTGTAATTATCTATAAGCCCCTATGTGTTTAAAAACATGCATATATGTAATATCTATTCTGTTTTTCCAAAACCTTCTAGATGCTTCTTCCTGCTTGAATATAGCCGATTCATTTTCATTCCATTTTTACCTTCCTGGAAGTACACAGGAAATATTTCTTTCCAAAAGCTGTTTTGTAAAGATAGTGACCACAAGACATGCCAGTAAATCTAAACTAATTTTAACATATTTATTTTTCCTGTGTAGGTCCCGTTGGTTATTTTTAAGCGAGAAAAGGAAGTAGCACGGAAATTGGAATTTGATGGGCTTTATATTACAGAACAGCCTTCAGAAGATGATATTAAAGGCCAGTGGGATAGACTCGTAATCAACACACAGTGAGTAAAGAATTATATGAGACATTTCTGTACTCACAAATTTCCAGACATGAAAATACTTGGTTGGAATTCCTGCAGATTTGTCAAAAGTTTAGCAGAGGTGAATAATAGTTATATATTCAGTCAAGAAAAATCTAAAAGACTCAGCGCCGTCAGCCTCCTTAATGGATGTCCTCAATTTTTGCCCTCTGAGTTCTGAATTCCTTAATCAAAAATGGCTTAGAGTTCATTTCCACAGCACTGATGGAACTTCACATCCATTACTCAGCGTTCAGGGATGTGTGTAACAGAAAGTGCATGACCTGCAGGCAGGGTTATCTCATCCAAAAGCAGAGGAAGCGAAAATTATTCATTAAGGAAAAAGTTGTAGCATTAAAGGAAAACATATTGAATTTTACACCTTGAATATATCTGAGTTATCAACTTTCAGTACCATCAAGCAGCCTAGCATGAAACTAACTACATGTTAGGACATGGTGTAAAATATAAGACAGAAAAACAAAAGCTTTTCCGATCCAATAATCGTTTAGCCCTGTGAGATCAAGATCCAAACTACCAGCTGCTGTTCTGAATATAAATCCATGACAAAAGTATAATTTTTCACTGTAAAAAGAATTAGTACTGCAATAGTTGTAATAGTTTATATTTACTATTCAAGAGTGAAATCTTTTTAAAATTGTGATTAGTTTTGCTTATTAAAAGTTATTTGCTAATGGGTTCTGAGTTGTCAAATGGAGATGATTTATTTATACATGATACATGTTTATTCTAAATGCTAAATGCTTTGTTTAGCAATTCTACCATTAATACTAAGTCTAAACAAGTCATTCCCTTTAGGTAAACTCTGTATGTATTAGTTAAGGTGCTAGAGTTGTGCTTTGGTGCTAAGCTCAAAGTTTCTTTGAGGATAACTGGTAGGAAGGAGATTTTTTTTCTTCATAGGAATAACAATGATAGGTTTCTAGATACTTTAATTTTTAAAGGCAATTGATAAACAGGTCTATGTATTGATATGATAAAAACAAATAAATAGCAATACTACCTAATAAATATTCTCATATTCTTCTCCATTAAAGTATCAGCTTATACGCTTTTGTATATATTTACATGTTAATATTTAAAATAATATTCAAATACCTGTGATGCAGGAAATTATGTGATGTTAACCAAATTCATTGTAAGTTTACATGGATGGCAGGATATATGTTTACATATTATTTTAAGTATGCCATATATCCCAAATGATATGTTATTATTTGTCATTAAAAATAATACTATTTACTTCTATGCTTTTCTATATTTTAGGTCATTTCCCAACAACTACTGGGACAAATTTGTTAAAAGAAAGGTAATACTACTTGGAATCCTCTATATTTTTCTTAAAGCACAGTTTGGATTTTAATTTGATGTGATTCAGCTGTAGAATAAGATATCGAGGTATAATTTATCTGCCTATTAATGTCTCTTTTTTTTTTTTTTTTTTTTTTGAGGCGGAGTCTCGGTCTGTCTCCCAGGCTGGAGTGCAGTGGCGCGACCTTGGCTCACTGCAACCGTGTAACCTCCGCCTCCCGGGTTCAAGTGATTCTCCTGCCTCAGTCTCCCGAGTGGCTGGGATTACAGGCGCCCGCCACCACGCCTGGCTAATTTTTGTATTTTTAGTCGAGACGAGGTTTCGCCATGTTGGCCAGGCTCCGACTCCTGACCTCAGGTGATCCACCCGCCTTGATCTACCAAAGTGCTGGGATTACAGGCGTGAGCCACCACGTCCAGCCAAATACGAATTTCCAGAATAGCACATAATGGCCGGGCGTGGTGGCAGGCTGAGGATGGTGACAAGGTTGCAGGTCCTGGTGTTACTGAAGAATTGCTGGGGTCAGGATACTCAGGGGAGTGGGGTGGAAAGATGGGCCTTGTGGTCAGAGAGTTGAGGGGTTGAAATCGAGAGCATGGAAGAATGCCACCCTGTGATGTGTCCCCTGTTAGCATGCAGAGGTCTATGCAGAGGATCATTGGCTGGGGAGTCAGGCATGGCCTGGTTGCTTCCTGGACCCCATCTCTTGCTGAGTTTAGCAACCTTAGGCACATTACAGGAAGTTTTCTAAGGTACAGTTTCTTTATCTGCAGAATATCAATCACATGAAACCTACATATTGTGACAGTCATATGGAATGAAGCATAATTTCTGACACAAAGTATTAATTTAGTAAAGGTCACTCTTATTCCATTTCCCTCCATTTCTTACACTTTTATTTCAGCTCATCTTTTTCCTTGGTACGTCTCCCTCTCTTGAATGAGAGAGAAATCTTATTCCTCAGATAGTTATTATGTAAAATGCAGTGAATTTGTTTAGACCTTAAGCATGTGATCATAGAAGATGAGCCATAAACTAGATTTTAGGTGATTGTTAGGGCAAATATACAGTAAGTATAAAAATGATTAGATGTTTTATACACACATATAGATATTACTTAATGGTTGAAGCCAACAAAATGCTTTTTCTCATGCCCCAAGGTAATGGATAAGTATGGAGAGTTCTACGGCCGAGACAGAATTAGTGAATTACTTGGCATGGACAAGGCAGCTCTGGACTTCAGTGATGCCAGAGAAAAGAAGAAGCCAAAGAAAGACAGCTCCTTATCAGCTGTGTAAGTGTTACTTCGGCTCTATCCTACAGACTTAGATTGAAAAGGGAAAACATTAATACATTTCTAAACTTGTGCATTGATTTCCTTTCCTTTAATGTCAGAAGAATAGATAGATGAGGAAAACAGAATGTATATAAAGTCTACTTTTACACTTCTTGGTATTTGGAACTCTGGAATCATTGGATTTTTTTCTATTAATTTTGGAGGTACCTTTTAATATTTACAAGAGAAAAGAAAGACTATTCATGTTTTTGACTTAATTTGCCTTCTCTGTCTTTAAAGATCCTTAAATCTAAGTAAAACACACACAAAAACTCAATATATGGCTGATTTCTGGTAATTCCTGTTTGAAAAAAATTAGTTCCCTTTTCCAAAACATAAGAAAATTATGTAGCCCTTTTATTTACAATGTTCAGAGGAACTCATATTACTTTATTATAATTATTGTATTTTTTTGAATAGCAAAGGCTTAGTATGTCAGAAATAATATCCTGTCCTACTATTACTTGTAAAGTTTACTTCAAAATGAAACACTCTTTATATACTGCTTTCATGGAATAATGTTTTAAAACCAGTTGAGTTGAATGTACCTGAGTTTAAATGTCACACACACACACACACACACACACATATAGTGTGAGTGTAGAGATATATACATACATCCATCTAGCAAATTTGATCAACTGAATCTCTGGAATAAAAGTAAGACATGCTTTTAAAAATGTAATTGCTTGTTGTAGTCACTTAATGATTCTGGAAGAAACAATACTTTCTCTTAACATGATTAGGGATGTGATGGTTACTTTGAAAACATATTTATGGTTCTGTGAAGCAGTATTATTTTCTTAGATAATCTGTTACCTAGCATTAAAAAGATAGTTTGGTTGGCCTATCTCATTGGTCATATTGTTTTTATCTATCTGAAAACTTATTAGAGCTACTTGGGTCTTTAAAGTTAAGGTGAACTTGTTTTTGAACTTATTGTTGAAAAGAACTTAGATCAGTAAATGTGAATTAAGGTCCAAAATATTACTTGAGTACTCTAGGAAAACAAATGTATATTTAAAGGTTATGCCACTGCATGTAAAATTGAACACAGATGAGCAATCCTTAGGACCTGTGTCCCTTATGTTAGAAAAGTATAAAAAATATATATCATATGAAACAAGAACTAGGGTGTGAGTGAGGCTGAGCATCCCACAGACATTTTCAGATCCTTAATAAGCAATACCGAATTAAGTAGTTTTACTGAGTTATGCATTTTCTATGGTCACCTTTGTTACTCTAGAAAAAAAGTCTGAAAAAATAGAAGGGAAGTTTAGGCTGCTTTTCTGCTATGAAGAAATAGTTTTAAATTGGCATAGTTTTCTACCATTATACATAGTAAATGTGTGTAAGTTTGACTCCTAGCAAAGTACCAAGAAGTTCATATAGCATTTAGCACCTCTACATATGGAGAATAAAATTAGAAGAATAAAGTTCTGGTAAATAATGTACAACTAGGAAAAAGATTTACATATAATGTCTCTTTAACTAAAGCATTTAGGAAGGTCAAGTTTTAAAAGATTATCCGATTTATATATGAACCCTATCTTAATGTGAACATTGAACTACAAGGATGATTTATATATTTATTTATCAAACACATAAGGCTTGGTATGTGCACCTTTAAATAAGTGGCCAGCTCCATTTCTGGGGGTGGAATAGCTGCAAGCAGTCAGCAAGTCTGCATTTGTGTCCTCACTGGGGAGGAAAGGAGATCGTGTCTCAAAACATCTAGCAAAACTCAGCTTCCTAGTTATAGTTTACCCTTGACTGGAGCTTTGGCATCCTCCTGCCCGCGCGACCAGGAAGACCGTGTTCTGATTGGCTTAGCTCAGCCATGGCCCTGCCCCAGGGGTGGGGTCAGCCTCACCCAAACAGCATGGCTACCACTTACGGGTGAGAAATGAGTGGGGTGTGCTGCTGTGTGATATTGATGGTATACTGTCACACTAAAGTATGCTAGAGATGGAAAATAACTCTGAAGAATAATTTTTAAAATAAAATAAGAAACCACCATAGGCAATTCATACATCCTGATATAAACCGTTATTTTGTTTTAGATTGCTTTAATGTAAAATAATTATGCTCTCATGCAAATTACTCCATTTTTTTCTCCCAACTCTTCCTTTTTTAATTTAAGAAAAAACATTCTTATATTGAAACCTGTTGTAAATATTTATGGAACTTTTTTTAAAGGCTCCTGTGATAAAATTAATTCTAGTTCATAGATAACTTTATTTCTTTAAGGATAAAATTTTTTTTTTAAATCCTGTACTAAGTTAACTGAGCCTTAATCCTTAGTGAAAAAAATCTCCTAAAAAGTCACCTTTGATATGCACCTACTTATCTTAGCATTTATAATTTAAGTTTAGCCTAATTAAAAGAAATGATTAAAGAGGCAATAAAGGCTAAAACATTAAGTCTAGAGAAACCCTTTAGAAAATAATATTGCCATTATGTTAAAATGCATTATTTCATATCGATTACTTAGAGCTGGAATATTGGAAAGGTTGGCAAAGTTATAATTTCTAGCCAATAAATCAGTGGCAAGTTCTGAAAAATGAAAATTAACACGTATATTTTAATATACGTGTTTGTAATCTACAAAGATCACAAATGTTTACTTTAGGATTTATTCATTCAACATATATGCATTTAGACATTCAGTGTGTGAGCTATTGTGCGTGGAGCTGGGGAGTTCACAGACTAGTGAGAGAGGCGTATATCCACATACATGCATACACCAGCACCCACAACTGTAAGACAATGTAGGAAATAATAATAAAAGGAATTGTCTACAAAATGCTATGAGAACCGAGGGGAAGAGCTAAATTGCTGCCTGGATGGAAAAGGAAACAGAGAAAGTGAATTTTCTGGAAATGAAGTAAAAACCATTTAAAAGCCCTTCCATTTATAAAATAAGATAGTTGTAAAATAAATGTGTATATTTATGCTAGCTTTTATTATTTGAATCAAAAGTTACTCTGTTGGCATGCCATTGCAAGTGCATATAAAAGTTAGTGAGGAAATGTTTGATGTGTACATATGTTGGCCAATTTAGTACAGTTTCAAGGAATGTTATATGTAGCTGGGCACAATGGTGCATGCCTGTAATCCCAGCACTTCGGGAGGCCAAAGCGGACAGATCACCTGAGATCAGGAATTCAAGACCAGCCTGGCCAACATGATGAAACCCCAACTCTACAAAAAAAAAAAAAAAATTAGCCAGGAGTAGTAGGACATGCCTGTAATCCCAGCTACTCGGGAGGCTGAGGCACGAGAATCGCTTGAGCCCGAGAGGCAGAGATTGCAGTGAGCCAAGATTGCACCATTGCATTCTAGTCTGGGTGACTGAGTGCAACTCTGTCTCAAAAAAAAAAAAAAAAGAAAGAAAAAAAAGTTAATAGTGAATGTAGGAAAGGAAAAGGTGAAAAAGAAAGGACTATTTTTAAATAACATAAGACTAAGGTGATGGTGTTTTGGTTTCCAAGATCCTCTAAAAACACATCATGAAACTCTAGAATACAGTGTCAGAGTTGGCTCTCAGCTCCTCCCTTGGCATCTGGGATAGAACTAGTTTCCTTAGAAGGTTTCCAAGTCTTGTGCCATTGAATGCGAAGGCCGTCAGCTCTTGCAAGCCTATGAGTCTTTGATTAATGTGCATAACTACACTTTTTTTTTTTTTTTTTGTCATTGCAGACTGAACTCTATTGATGTGAAGTATCAGATGTGGAAACTAGGAGTCGTTTTCACTGACAACGTAAGCCTACTTCATTATCACAAAAGAAAATGCACTCTGATTAGATAAGTCTGTGGGAGTTCTGTAGATGGAAGGATGGTTATGTAGAAAATGTTTCAAATACCAATTCATTGCATACAGACCAGATCTGGAGAGAGAGCCACAGAATGATATGATTAACAAGCCCATCTCTCATTCCATTTCTTTCAATAGCCGAAACATTAAAATGAAAATATATTTACACAAAAGAAAAACTGAGATGCAGATTTGTGAGTATGTCCATTAAGGTTTTAATTGGGCAATGGCATACTTCAGTTTTATAGACGTTAAAAAGAAACTCCTAAATAATTTTCAAAGAACATTAATTGTGCTAAATTTAGGTTTTCCCCAAATTAAGTACATTAAATTATGGAGGTTTTTTTTTATTCTCCTTTTACCAAATATTCTTTGGAGACTAAATATAGGGCCCTAATATATATTCAAATAAAATAGAAAAAAAAATTACCTATTACTAAAACCCACCAGGTATCTCAAGATTTCACTCTTTAATTTTAGCACTGACTTTTATAGTTAACATTAGTTCCATTCTCCTATTTAGAAGCCTTTGATAGCCCCCAAATTCTCCTGCCTCTATCCTTACCCCTTTCCTCATCTAGCCATGGGCCCAGAGCTCTGGGTATCTTAGGAGCATTCTCTAAGAGTTCAAAATTATCTTTTAGAACTATAAACTATTAATACACTATCTTACAAATAATTTCTCATCCAAATGGAAGCAACTCCCCTGAATAACAAGAGGGCATCCTCAACTTTGGCTCTAATGGGCATTTTCCATTCAAGTGGCCAGTCCATCTTAAGTTCTGCCCGCTAAGCTCAATCTTCCATGCCACAATATTTGCAGAGCCCACTTTTGCCCAGATGCAGCTTCTGCCCAGATGCAGCTTATCCATAATATTCATCTTGCTATGTAACTTTTTTGTCTAGATAACTTGAGCATAGATAGATCCAGGACGGAGTCTTTCCTCAGACAGTTTTCTGCTACCTTAGTAGGCTTTTATCCACCTGCAGTTTCATGGCTTCTGTTTGGCCAGTCACCTCCCAAATTACTTCATGCAACACACCTAAACTAAAAATCATTTATTCTTTCTCTCTCAAATTTAACTGTGCAGCAAGCACATATGTAGACCACACATGCACCTTTGGCCCAGCTTGTCATTTAGTTCCTTACTCATCTTATGCCCATAAATTTTCCTTTTCCTCAGTCTTTGCATTTCTTAATGGTTCATTAGATTAGCTCCATCTGAATGTCCCATGGCAGATTTTCATCTTCCTTCTCCTCTGCTCCTCCCCTCCAAATCCAGTCTTCAGTCTACAATTTTCTCTTAGTATTTTTCTTCTTCTTACTACCTAAGCTTAAATTATTCATATGGACTCCTCTTCTTTCTCCCTCCAATGCATGCATTTGATTATTTGCTGAATCTTGGTCCTGTTTGTGTCCTCTGTAATTCTCCCTTCTTACTCTTACTTTTGCTGCTTTTTTTGGGCTCTGGTAACCTCATCCTGGGGCTTGTCCAGTAGTCTTCTAATTTAATGGCTGTGCCACTTACAATGTTTTTAGACAATAGCTTAACTGGAGCAAGCTCACTTCCTCATATATAAATTGGGGCTAAACATGCCTGTTCATCAGAGATCTTGCTAAAATAAAAAAGAGACCATGTGTGCAATTATATTGAACATTGACCAGCACTTAGTAGGTGCTCAAGAAATTTTCCTACAATGCCATTTTTCATAAACCATTATCCTCCTCATGATACTGCAGTGGCACTCAAGCTCCTGTGGGGTACACAAATGTCCTTTAACTTGCCCTCAAGTCTCTCCAACACTGTCACACTTTTCTAGCTTGATCTTGCAAAACAGGAACCCACCACTCAAACCAAATTTTCCTTCCCAAGCAAACTCCTCTTGGTCTTATCTCAGTGTGCTTTTTAAAAAGGCTATTTTCTTTTCTGCCACTTGACCTCTAGCTTCAGTTCCACATGGTCCTTGAAATCCCCTTCCTAGCTCAGCCCCCCCATTTTTGTTCTCTGTGAAAGATTAAGATATCTTACAGTCAAAATGAAGGTGTCCGCCCCTTCCCCAAATGGGTGGCTTCTGACTCCACCAGCAAAACATCCCTTATGCAACAGAGACTGTAGTCCCATAAGTAAGAACAGCCACCATGTTTTTATTCAGCATTAGTCCCGGCCCTCCCCTAAAAGTATATTCATTTTCCAGCCTATGTGAATAATCCACATTAATTATAACCCAGGAGACTTCTACAACAGAACCAATTGTATTATTAGGTGTACTGTAGCTTTCAGTGACGTCACATGGTATTTGGGTTTCTCCTAGACTTACTGCGGCTCATGTAAAGTGAGATGCTTGGTTAATAAAACATGTAATTTCGTAACTAGTAGATCTCAGCAAACACTGATTTGGTGAGCGAATAAATGAAAAGCAAAGAAGGGAAGAAAAGGAGGGAGAGACAGTGACTGGTTCTTTGGCTGGCTGTAGAGCAAGGGTTCTTCTCCACTGGGAAGCAGCTTTGTCTCCCAGTGATGTTTGGCAATGTCTGGAGACATTTTTGGTTGTCATGACTCGGGGGAGAGGTGGGGTCGGTGCGATTGGCATCTAGTTGATGCTGCTTGCCATCCTACCATGCACAGAACAGCACCCATAATAAAGGATTATCTGATCCAAAATATCAATAGCGCCGGGTTGAGAAAGCCTGCTGCTGACTAGGAAGTCAATAAATGTTTCTCTGTTGGAGGATAAATAAGAACAGTGACAATTCTTAAAACACTTTAAAACTGTTTTAAAGAGAATGACACTGACCTTTTCAGAACAAATTAAGTAAAAATAAAATACACTGAGAACAAGCTGATACAGCTAACTAGAATTATAAAAATGTATAGGGGGCCAGGCGCGGTGACTCACGCCTGTAATCCCAGGACTTTGGGAGGGGCAAGGTGGGCGGATCCTGAGGTCAGGAGATCGAAACCATCCTGGCTAACACAGTGAAACCCCATCTCTACTAAAAATACAAAAATTAGCCGGGCGAGGTGGCGGCACCTGTAGTCCCAGCTACTCAGGAGGCTGAGGCAGGAGAATGGCAGGAACCCAGGAGACAGAGCTTCCAATGAGCCGAGATCGGGCCACTGCACTCCAGCCTGAGTGGCAGAGCGAGAGACTGTCTCAAAAAAAAAAAAAAAAAAAGTATAATGTACAAAGATGAAGTAAATAGAGTAATTATAAGAGTGAAATTGGAGTTGCTTTTTAATTTTTTTTAATTGACAAATAATTGTACATATTCATGAGGTACCTAGTGATATTTTGATAAATATAATGTAATCAGATCAGGGCAATTAGTATATGCATTTTCTTTAACATTTATCACTTCTTTGTGTAGGGAACATTTAATATCCTCCTTCTGGCTGTTTGAAACTATATATTATTGTGACCTGCCGTCATCCTACAGTGGTATAGAACCCTAGAAATTATTTTTTCTATCTAGCTATAACTTTGTATCTTTTAACAAATCTCTCCCTATTCCTACACCTCCTTTTTCTCCCCGATCTCTAGTGTCCTCTCTCCTACTTTTTACTTCCATGAGATTAACTTTTTAAGATTCCACATGTGAGTGAGAACATGTAGAGTTTAACTTTCTGTTCCCGGCTTGTTTTGCTTAACCCATAACAATGGTGATGCATTCTATTTTCTGACATGTTTCCCCCTCATTTTGTCTTGATAGTCCTTCCTCTACCTAGCCTGGTATATGACTATGTCTGTTCTTGGACACTATAACAACTTTTTTTTTGCTGCTCACCTTCTCGACATTGCTATGGGATTCAAGACATTAAGAACCATCTTGTCCTCAGTAACTCACAATGGCAAACAGGTAAGCAGTTTATCTTTTTTTCCCCATTGCAGAAAATAAAAAAGCAACAAATAAAGAAAAATAAAACTACCCCTCAAATGGCAATGTACAGTTTTAAAGATTTTTTGGAAGGAAGGGTCTGTACCTCTTCTAAACTGCAGGGATTAGCAGTTTGAGAGTCTTCTAGGCCTATACTCAAGCCTTGACTTGACCTTGGATAAATTAATTGAAAATAATAAAAGTACATACCTTACCAGATTTTTGTGAAAATGAAATAAAAACAAATGTATATGCTTTAACACAGCCCCTGGCACATATTAAGCACTCAGGAACTTAGTTACTATTTTGTTTCTGGTATAGTGTTTGCTCCACTTGCTGTTATGTGGAACCAAAATAGGTTACAGAATCCTGATGCACTTATTGTGTTAGCTGTAAAATATGAGATGCTGCATTTTAATGTAATATTTTTAAACTGTTTATCTTATACGCTTTACTTTTAAATTGAGCAAAAAGGATAATGTTTCATATTTGACAAGGTCATGCTGACTCAGAAGAAAACTGGTCTAGGTCCAGAAAATGCACTTATGTTCTAATGGAACCTACTTGTAATGTTAAAACTTTCCATTATCATGAAGCATATGGCAGAAGTATGCATGTTCTAATGGAACCGTTTGTAATGTTAAAACTTTCCATTATCTTGAAGCATATTGCAGAAGTATGCATTTATTAATTCATTTGCTATTTTTCAAGTGTCCACTGGGTGGTAACATATGCTGTGTTAGTTATTTGGATTAACAGAATCCTTCTTTTCCAGAGTCTTGTAGCCCAGCACATTTTAAAATAATTGCCTCTCTAAAAGCTTTGAACTGGGTCCACAGTTAAGTCCCCATTATCATTAGTTTTCTAAATTTCAGCACATTATTCTTACATATGTCACTTTAGGTTCTCCTTATGGCTATGATGTGCACAGCAAGTCATGGGTCTAATGACAAAAAGTCTATTTATCTGCCAGTCAGTTCTTAAGTTGTGTTTGAGCTCCCGGTATGTGTAGTAAAGAACTGGAGATGCCAAATCTATGTGTGTTTCTACATAAAAGATCTGGCACTACTTTTAGTTTCTGAACTTTGTGGGGTTTCTTTCTTTTTGAGGTATCAAATTTTCTTTTTTTGTTTGTTTTTAAGACAGAGTCTTGCTCTGTCACCCAGGCTGGAGTGCAGTGGTGTGATCTCGGCTCACTGCAACCTCCGCCTCCTAGGTTCAAGTGATTCTCTTGCCCCAGCCGCCCACATAACTGGGATTATAGGCACGTGCCACCATGCCTGGCTAATTTTTCTATTTTTAGTAGAGATGGGGTTTCACCATGTTGGCCAGGCTGGTCTCGAACCTCAGGTGATCTGCCCGCCTCGCCCTCCCAAAGTGCTGGGATTACAGGCATGAGCCACCCCACCTGGCCTCAAATGTTCATTTGCAGAAATATGTAGAGTTTAATAGTCCTAACAGGTAAAACATGCAGAAATTCACAGTGGCCTTGTACTTCATTTATAGAAATGAATGAAACCCTCTGTTAAGCTAACATGTTTTCTCCAGATAATTGTAAAGTGATTTTGTAAAGACTTAATGAGCATAGGCAGTCACAGTTGAGACCATAAAGTTCTGCTGTAATCAGAGACTACACATACAGATAAGGCATGGTAGCGTGGTAGAATTTCTGTGATGAAACTAGAAATAGATTTTCACCAACTTGGTGAAAAGCCCCATTTTTAGCATATGCATATTCTATCAAAAATACTCTACAATTCTATCATATACTTATAACTATCTAAAAATTAAAGTATAATTTGGATTAAAAACAGATTACATAGAGCTGAAAGACCTTTCAAACAGAGACATTGAATTACAGATTGAGAAAAATAGCCTTCAAAATAGTGTTGGTCATTAGCTGTGGTGTTTTTCACTTTGGTCATTGTTTACAAAGCAAGATTTCTCAGTTTTAAAAAATATTTATATTATACATTATTACTAATTGTGTGTCCCCAGATTTCAGGGGCAATACCAACGTCTATTTAGGATATGATTGAAAATTAAAAAATAATTTACAGTCATAAAAATAAAATGCGTTTTATTAAATGTAAATTATGGAAAATAGCCCTCATAAAACGAAGAAAGGCACAGTGGCTCACGCCTGTAATCCCCGCACTTTGGGAGGCCGAGGCGGGCAGATCGCCTGAGGTCGGGAGTTCGAGACCAGCCTGACAAACATGGAGAAACCCCATCTCTACTAAAAATACAAAATTAGCCAGGCATGGTGGTGCACACGTGTAATCCCAGCCACTTGGGAGGCAGAGTTTGCAGTGAGCCAAGATCGCGCCACTGCACTCCAGCCTGGTGACAGAGCAAGACTCCATCTCGAAAAAAAATAAAATAAAATAAAATATAAAATAAATCAAGTCTGACAACTTGATAAAGAGAATATGAAAATAAATGTCTGCACAAGGGGGTAAGAAAGGTGAGAAATAAGTTATGGATCCCATTAGCTTCTAGTAAACACAGCTGTGTTCTCACTAGAGCATTCCCCACCCACGTAGATGCCACATGTGTCAATTGCATGTCCTACATTTCTAATACCTGTCCCTTGTCACATTGCTTTCCAGCTCGTATTAACTGTTGGCTTGTTAGCTGTTGTTGTGTACCTGTACACTGTGGTGGCATTCAATTTTTTCCGAAAATTCTACAATAAAAGTGAAGACGGTGATACACCAGATATGAAATGTGATGATATGCTAACGGTAAGTTCATAACCTTTGATCGCATATGAACAAAACCGTCTCCTGCTTCTGCAATCTAGGTAATTGTGTATTTATTCTCCAACAGTGCAAAATAGAAAATAGTCTAAACAATAAAAAGTTGCACGGCTCTTTAAAGAGTCAGCAGTTTTCAATTTTAGCAGAACATAAAGGAGCATTTCTGTCCATTTTCCATGTGTGCTGCACAGCCTAATAATTAGAATTGCTGAGTAATGTACTTAGAACTCAAAGGAGTAATGTCATCGCTTAAGCCTGTTGTTCACATATCCCAGGACAGCAGGTAAAATTATTTCCCAGAGAACATTTGGAAGCCTTAGTTTTTTGTCACCTTAATGACTTTAACTGAAATTACTAAATTTCAAAAGTGTATCTCTTTATAGAACTACTGATTTTTGCTTTTATATTGAGTATCTTGGCTTAAATGTCTTTTTTGGTTTTGGTTTTCAAAAATCAACAGCTGTTAAAGCTTTCATATTGCTTTATATCACCGTTCTACAACCTGTCTCTCTAATATTGGCAAATGAGAAGTTATCATACATGAGATCTTAGATCAGGAAGGGGAACATGAGACAAAATATATATCACTAGCTGGAAAGAGATGTATCCTTCAGTAAGCGCCTCACAAAAATACCTACATCATTTGTGTTGGGGATTTAGGTATAGAGGCTGATATAATGATACATAAATTACTCTAGAAAAAATAGCCCAAAAGATTGATGAGAGAGAATGACCATTATTACAAAGACTAACAATTAAGATAATTTTATACTAAAGAATGACAAATCAGCGGGACAGAGTGGTTCAGAAACAGATGCAAATACTCATGGAAATTAAAAGATGATAAAGATAGCTTTTGAAGTAAGGAAATGAAAAATAATTTAATAAATGACATTAGTACCATGGACAAGCTGTTCGGGGGAAAATGATAAAAATGGATACCAACGTTGCTTTATAAATAAAAATAAATTCTCAATTGAGCATATTTTAATGCAATAAGAAGGAATAATCACAAGACAGAATTTGATGCCTTAAATAATAGTAATACTCATTTTTATATGGAGAAGGGTCTGAGTATGACCTAAAACTCAGGGTCTATGAAAGCATAAACATTATTTGAAAAAAGAGCAACAATAAGTACAGTCGTAAAGGCAAATGGTAAAATGGGAAAAATATTTTTAACACCATAACAAAGGACCAGTTTCCTTAATCTACCAAGTCCTTATCACATCAATAAGAAGAAATAAACCAATAGAAAAACAAGTAAATCACATGACCAGACAATTCACAGTGAAATTAACGCAGTAGGCTTGCAGATTTGAAAAGATGCTCAGCCTCTGTCAAAGTGAAAGAAATGCAAATTAAAACAATGAAAAAACCACTTTTTACCCGTCAGGTTTGCAAAGTATTCACGTTTGTGAAAACCCATAGTTGGTGAATTGATGGGAAAAAATCGGCATTTTCATGACTCTGGCTGGGAATTTGAATTGACAACAATTTTAGAGAAGTTTTGCGATACTTATCAAATTTTTAACTATATATATCTTTTGACCTATTAATTCCACTGCTAGTAATTTCCCTAAAGGTTTACTCACAAATAAGCCTCTGTATGTTCAAGGACATCAGCTGCCCTCACAAGCTAGGAATAATCTAAATGATCATTAGTAGTGTCCTGATTAAGTCAATTATGATAAATCCATAACAGATATGCATCTGTTTGAAAATGAGAGAAATTCATATATACGGATATGGAGAGACATACAAATTACATTTTAATTAAATTACATTTAATTTAAAAAAACAAGATCTTGATCAGTATGATAGGATCCTCATTGTGTGAAATGATATATACACAACAATTCATATTTTTGATATGCTAGAATATGCATAACATTTTTCTGGAGGGATTTATTCATAGGACACTGTGAACAAGGATTCCTACCGGGGTAGGACCATAGATCACAGGAGAAAGAAACTTGTTTGCTTTTCATTTTATCGACTTTACTCCTGTCTGAATGACTGATACTATTTCTTTTTACCGGAGGTATTTTTTTATTTTTAAAAGTCTAAGACAGTTTTTTCTCCACCATGTTATAAAAGATAATCTGCCTTCAGTTATTCCCAAAATTAGTTTAACTACATGCAGAGACTGTTTCCTGGCAGGAAGGAGAGGACAGAACATACAGGTGGCTGACCTGAAGGAATTAAAGGACAGAGGCTGAGGGAAGCTCTGCTGAAACCTGATGTTACATTTTCATCCACCGCCTGTTCTTGAGCCATTTATTTAGAGCCCGAATCTCTTATTTGTGTAAAGAAGTTTTTCTGTTTTTAAAATGTTATCATAAAGGATCATTAATATAGAATTGCCCATCCTTCCTCGCCTTTAAACAAATATTATTTTATTTACTAATTTAGAGATCCTCAGACAAGATTGTCATTCTTTAGCTTTTCAATATTAGACATTTTGTTCTCTTCCCAACTTTCTTTTTAATAAAAAAAAATTTGAGAATAAATAACAACTCTCAAATGAGTTGCAGGTTATTTAAAAATTGGGGATACATAATAGCTTGCTGACATAAAAATATTCCCTTTTCTTAGGTCAAGATTAACTTTTTGAAGGCTTAGAACTTCAAAAAGGGATGCTTTTAATGGAAAATGCAGGGGGGAAAAAAGCTTTCAACTCATCAATCCATACATAGTTGGCAGCAGAGCAAATCGTATTGTTCATGCAAAAATCATCTATGATTTTCAGTATTTCCTGTCATTATTGCCATTCTGAGGTGTTACGCATATGACTTTGTGATTTCCATGTGCTAGTGACCTACTTGGAGGACACGGAGTGTCAGAGCTGAAAGGACTCTGATGTTCATGGCTGTTCATCCATACACTTAATTCCTCAACTGGAAGAAAATGCCATCCCAGTTACAAATCCGCAGTCCTGTAGATTTTTTTTATTTATCAAGTGCTCATATAGCACTTGGCTATAAATGATGTTGTGCCAGGTATTATCTCAAGAGCTTTACAAATATTAACTCAGTAGTCTCCTAATAACTTTTTGCTGTAGGTTGGCCCTGCTATCATTCCCATTTTACAGATGAGGAAACTGAGCTACCAAGAGTTTGAGTAACTTGTCATAAGTCACACAGGAAGAGGCGACACTCTTCAACCAGTACTCTAAGTTACACTACCTCACAGTTAGTAACTTCATTAATGCTTCTGTTACTAATTTGAGTGATTGTTTTATACCAGGCACTTGTTAAGAATAAGGTTTGAGTAAGTACAGTCCCTGCCCTCATGGAACTTGCATGGTAAGCACCTTTATAGCAATTCTGCTAAGCTCATTCTTTTCCCTAGAATCTTCCAAGAAAAGAATGCCCCAGAAATTCCAGAAGTTTTGGAAAACCTTGTGGATCAGTATTCCTGTTACATACAGAACATTTAATATACTATACAAAAATAGTGGATTCACAACATCACTGCTCAAATATTGCAACTGAGCAGTTGCTTTAGATGGCTACTAGACAGGGAAATAAAAATAACTTTTTAATGTCACATCATACTAGAGTGGAAGATATTGATATGGACACAATTTATGTGCCTTAATACCTGAGATCCATTTTAGTCATCATAAGTTGGCATGACTGAGATGCGGTACTTACCTTTGATAGTCTTCTTCTCTGATTAATTGCTGGACGAATAATTCATGCACCTTGCCTGGAGCCTCTTCCCTGACTGCCTTTCTATCACCCACTGATGTGGCCCACCTGTCTGCTTCTTAAAAGTATCTCCTATCCTTCCTGTTGCTGCTTTTCTCACACCGCAAAGCAGAGAAAAATTTATAAGTTTTTTTAAAAAAAACTTAACAGCAACCGTAAGAAAACTGGATTCACTGCAACAAGACTGACCCGTTCCTAGTGATGACTCTCATCAGAGTGACTAACATGCAACACTTTGCCCCTCCTCCCACACCTATTCATTCATTCCAGGCCTAGGGCTGAAGATGTGTCAAGGATCCTTCATCTCCTCTCCCATGTGCTGCCTTTAATATCAGCCATGCTCAGAGCCTCTCTACCCTGTGACCCTGAAGGCAGGAGGGGAGTGGGAGGCCAGGAAAGGCTACATGGCACAATGCAGAAGGTAGCAGCAGCAGGTACATTGCCTGCAGTGACTTCCAAGAAATTCAGTACTATTCTAGGACAAACACCTGACCAAATTTATAAATCTCAGTATCTACCAGCCTCAGGGCAGAGAGTTTACTTAGGTCATGTATTCCTAAAGAGTATGATGCTCAGAGAATTGCTAAAAATTAATAGAAAAATAGGAATGATTTCAGATTGTGACATTCAGTGACCTGTGTCAGGTAGTGAGAACAATATGTGACTTTAGATCTCCCTTTTATACCACAGGGAGACGCCGGCAACATCCTGGTCTCTCCTTTTATTGTGCAGTCATCATAGTTGACCCCATTCAAGTTGTAATCATAGGATCCTTAGACGACTACATTTTGAACCTCACTCTCAGGATGCATTTCCATTACTTTTCCTAAGTTAATTTTGCTTAGGAAGACAACTGCCTTCACCTGGTTGATTTTGCCCAATTTCATGGGGCATGAATACAGAAGACAGAGAAACTTGGTTCCAGTGAGGAAATACGACCTGTTGATGTTTTGAACTATGGACTTAACTAGAGCCTAGATTTTCTTCAGTTTCAGGGATTTCTGTCCTCATGAGTAAGACTATTTATGACCAGCTCTGTTGTAGGTTTTTGTATTTCTACACATAACAATAAACTTACTATCTTGTCTTTGACTGGGGTGAGTATATGTTTTAGATGTTTCCTCCCTGCAAGAGAAAACTCAGTTCCAAGACACAAGTCACTTTTTCATCCCTAGCTCATTCACAATGACGTGCTGCTGCCAACCAGTCACACCAGACAGGAGTCTCTGTAGCATTACACAAGCTCATATCCCAGTGATTGTCCCTAAA